ATATGCGGAGATATATATATATATATATATATATTCACTTATTAGTTGAGTTACTTTACATTAAAAAAAACTACAATTAGAACTTAAAAATAATGCCAATTGTATCTATGATATTGTGAGTTTTGTCCTTAGGAGAAAACATTTTTAATTTATTATTATTATTATTATTATTATTATTATTATTATTAATGATGATGATGAGAGAATATTTAATTATATATTCAGAAAATAAGAGTATTAAAGTTGCTACTCAGAAATGTCAGTTTAAATGTGGACATATTTTTTTAAATATGAATGTATGAACAAGTATTGAAGTATTATGCCAAACCCTTGTACACTATTACTCCTAGAAGTCAGAAGATACTATCAATTACCTATGATTGATAAAATTGAAACAGATGTATAAACAAATTGTCTGAAGTGATAAGTGTGATAACTACTGTAGCCTCTTAGCCTTGAAAATGTGGTGTTAATTTCTTGCTCTTAGCCCGGTGACACAGATCCCGATGCTTCACCCTCCTAGTATTCTCCAACACAAACCAATATATATGAATTTTTTAAAAAAAAAAGTTGGTGAAGTGTGTTGCACCCTGAGAATATTCAGAATCCAATTATGAAACATTTGGGTAATATATTCTATTATTAGTCGTACGTTGAAGCATGGAACATGATGAAATGGCAATATAATATTCAAATTGACGTGGCATGACACAAATGTGAGTCTATAAATTGGATCACATTCTCACTCTTATTTCATCCCAGGAGTAGTGAGTCTAGAGGAGTCAAAGAGCAGAGAAAAACGCAGTATATACATTTAATTATAGGCAAATATGGTAGGCCCGATGAGACCTCAGATTGTGCTCTTTGGCTCCTCTATAGTTCAGTTGAGCTTCGACAATGGTGGTTGGGGTTCTACTCTGGCTAATTTGTATGCTAGAAAGGTGTTTCTCTTTCTCCTTCATCATTTTTTTTCTAACAGTACACCTGCAGCAGCTACACTAATTCCATATTCTGCATGCACACAAATTATATTTTCTGCTTCTCGTTATATATATAGTGTTTCTTTTCAACCAAGGTTTAAATTCAATATAGATCTCAAGGTGTGACTAATAATATAATTAAAATAATTAAAATAACATATATAAGTAAAAAAGATAACTCTTATTTTATATATTATTTAATTTTGATTAAGCTATGTTTAATAAAAATTTATTAAAATAATATCAGAATTTATCTTAATGATTATTATCATAAATTTTCATGTTCAATTTGTCCGATTAACCTTAATTAGCATATTGGAGATCCCAATCCTACATGGTATTAATTAAGTTCAAAATAGAATATATCTATATATATATATATATATATATATATATAAGTGAAAAAAATAATTTAATTTTATAGGATTAAGTTTAAACACATTTTCTTAATGATATACTTACCAAACTTATAAAGAGGTTTTTTAATGTAAATAAAAATATAATTTCATCGATATCAGTGATCTATCAGAAAATAGTGTCTGTTATGGTGACTGAAATTGTTTTTTATGTATTGACGTGGCGACACAGGCGGACATAATATTGCGAGGATATTCTGGTTGGAATTCAAGGCAAGCTTTGGATGTTCTGGATGAAGTTTTTCCCAAGGTAAGGAGAAAACATGTTGAGTTCCACGTAGATTTCGTTTCTATCCTTTCGAATCTCTTTAAATCCTTTTGTTTTATTTATTTATTGTCTTTGAGTAATGCTGCCTAACGAAAAGGTCAACAAATTAAGATTGAATTGTGTTCAATAAAAGCATGAGTCTGAGGAAAAAAGAAATAGAAAAAAAATAGCGAATTGATAGATATAATAAGTAATGTTACAAAAATAAAGATAAATAAATGAGATAAAAGTAATAAAAAATAAAAAATAAAAAAAAGAAATTAAGTGTACAAATATAATAGTCTGAATGGTTCTACTACCATGAAGAATCTTGCATGTGAACATGATATATCTAAAACTTGTCCTATAGAAGCAGCATATATGGACCTACATTAAGCAATTTGCCTCACACAATTTCAATTTTATAATAGATTTAACTATTAAGTTGGTATTCGAGTTCTCTTCACACACACAAAAGAAAAAGGCTATCATTTAAGTTTTATTTATCTGCATTATTTAAAAGAAACATGTGAAGTAGGAGATATTCTTGTGTCCTGATTGTCTAAAATATTTGGATACTGTAATTTAAATGTGCACTACTTAGTTTTTATTGTTGACGTTTAGATTCAGCTAAAGACAATAATGTGATGAGTTCATGTCTGTTGAAATGTAAATGGTGACCCCTCTGTTATAATTTGTTGACCTCTACAGGATGCTCATGTGCAACCATCATTGGTGATTGTGTACTTTGGTGGCAATGATTCTGTTCACCCTCACCCATCTGGCCTTGGTCCTCATGTACCCCTTCAAGAATATGTTGAAAACATGAGGAAGATTGCTAACCATATTAAGGTATATAATAAATTAATCTTCTACATCAAACATTATTCATATAACCCTTGATATATAAGCCTCGTACAGAATATTATTAATTTTTTTACTTATAATATTTGTTGCTTCAATGTTTGACACAAATAATAATGTTTATCAGAGCCTCTCGGATCATATTCGCCTTATATTCCTCACCTCTCCTCCCATCAATGAAGAACAAATGCTCAAAAAGCTCAGGTTCATACACTTCCTATTTTGCTCATTGTAACTTTTTACTCACATCGTGTGTACATTATATTTTACCCTTACACATACATTTCTAGTTTCTAAAAGTAACATATATAATAATTATCGCTACATATTTCATTACCCCTTGGGAAATAACTAGTTATCATTAACCACAAACTCCTTGTACCCCACAAGTTTTCTAATGTTTTTTTGGATGCACCGAATCTAGTGCAACGCAATCTGGAAGAACCAATGAATCGTGTGGAGAATATGCGGAGGCCTTAATGGAGCTTTGTGAGGAGCTGAATATCAAGGCTATTAATCTATGGTCTGCAATTCAGACAAGGGATGATTGGTTAGATGTTAGCTTCACGTAAGTATTTCTAACTTATATTTAAACAAACTAATTAATAGTAATAATAATTTGTTTACGTTATCATATTCAATAAAATATCGTTATATATAATATTTATCTTAAATATTATATTAAAGATAATGTTTTATTGATTAGTTAACTGTGTAAAAACTTTTATATTGAAAATGTATATCAATCACTCATTTTCTAAAGTGATTAAATAATTATATATGTTGCTTAGGGATGGAGTTCATCTATCAGGTGAGGGAAGCAAGGTAGTGGTGAAGGAGATATTAAGGGTTCTGAGGGAAGCAGATTGGAAGACTAGTCTGCATTGGATGTCAATGCCAACTGAATATGCAGAAGATTCACCATATTATCCTCCTAGTGCTGATGGAACTACCACCATCAATGTGTCATACTGTATCTCGCGGAAGTGTTTGCAATGGGATCTGTAGAAACTATATATAAATTTGCACTTACTTGCACACCACAAGATATATATATCTAGAAGATGCATGCATGCTTCATTATATACTGAAGGCCCTGGCAATATATAGTCATGGAAGGGCAAGGAGTGTTACTAGTACGATGCTTTTCTAGTGTGTTAAATAACAAATGTGAATATCAACAAAGTAGAGCGTAGAGCGTAGATAGTAGAATCTCTTGGGCATATCATTAGAGATTCACTTTCTAGCCATGTGTACCACAAATGCTTTGTTGAAAGAGATGTTCACTTTGATAGTTTTTATACTTCAAACGAATAAGTCTCTAATTATTAAAAGGAGTTTATATCTCAAAAATACTAAATGTGGGAGTTTATATCTCAAAAATAATAAATGTGGGAGCATATATGTGATGATAAAAGAATGAGATGTAAAGATGGTATTGTCGAGGTGTTAAAATAGTATAACTCATTACTATGGATTTTCTCTCTTTCGAATAACACTTGTTTACGATTGAGAAAGAAAGGAAAAGAGAAAAAGAAGTGTAGAATAGAATAAGTAATATAACGTATAGAGATAAGGAAAAATGATTTGAAAAAAAAAATAGTACAAAAAAATAAAAATAATATAACTCTTTTTGTTATTTAGTTCTTGTGATGAATCAAATGTATAAAATTTTATACAATTAAATTATGCGGTACTTCATTACGTATTTAGTTTTAACACGAATGATGTTATTTAAAATATAACCAAATTTTTTCTATTAGATATCTATTAATGTTTAAATTATTTATAAAATTTAGTATACACATAATTCAATAGTTAAATTTTTAAAATTTATCCTTTTGTTAAATGTTAAAGGTATGTAATTAGTTTGGGAAGCCTAAGGATAATCACCGTGATGACCGAATACCCGAATGAAACAATGGCAATCCTGTGATATATAATCCTCCCATACTTGATTAGGAACTAGTAGTGGGTGAAGCAAACTAGCAGGTGCAGATATAGCTTGTTGGCATAAACAATGTTGCACAAAATGATTGATGTCTTAGGCCAATAAAATCGTGACATAATCCGTTCCAGTAATTCCTGCATGACCACCAATATTGTAGAACTATGGTATTCGTGAAGAATGTGTTTGATCAATATGAACTATGGTATTCCTGCATGACCACCAATATTGTAGAACTATGGTATTCGTGAAGAATGTGTTTGATCAATACCCACAGTCAAATCAGCCTAATTGAACAAAATATGAATGACTTAGACAAGAAGGAGGAATTGATGGGCCTAGATGAAAAGGAACAAATAACAAGGAAAAAATTACAGCATCAATTTTGGGAATTGGCAAAAATGAGTGAGTCGATAGCAAGGCAAAAATCCAGAATCACATGGCTTCAAGAGGGTGACAGGAACACAAAATACTTCCATAAGAAAAGAAGGAAAAATAGTTTGAGCAGCATAAGGGTGGCTGAGGAGTGGATACAAGATCCGATTCAAGTGAAATGTGAGGTCAACAGGTTCTTTAAAGAAAAGTTCTCAGAGGTGCAATGACAAAGACCAAAACTTGATGGAGTGACCTTCCAGATGATAACCTCTCAACAGAATGAATCATTAAATACACCGTCCATTCAAGTGTATGAGGTGGGATGGTGTGATGACTTATTCCATGAGTGCTTAAAAATAGACGAAGACCAATATATTCGCCACCATTATCCGTGTAAAAAATTTTGATGTTGTGATGAAAGAAATTTTCAACAAGCGATTTAAATTTGGGAAACAGAGTTTGTACATCAGATTTACGTCTTATCGGATATAGCCAAATATAACGAGTAAAATGATCAACAAACATGCAATAATAGCGAAGACCATCAATTGATAAAAACAGGGGAAGTCCATACATCAGAGAAAATTATTTCCAAAGGATAAGATGATTTAAGAGTGGATTCATGGAAAGGAAGTTTATGACTTTTGCTAATTTGACATGAGTTACAATCTGATTGCTGGAATTTATTTGAACCCAAAGAAAAATGTTGCTGAATGAAAGTGAAGATAGAAGAGGAGGGATGCCCAAGTCTATGGTGCCATGAAGCAGAGGATTCTGTGCGGACAGAGTGGACGAACGGGGAGTTGGCTGGCCAGAGATAGAGTCCATCCACACATGAGCCTATATGGGTTGTTTGACCCATCTGCAAGTTCTTCACATGAAAAGAGTTTGGCAAGAAAACAACAGCAAAGTAAGTTTGTTTAGTAAGCTGAGAGACAGAAAGGATTTTCTGTTGCATGGAAGGAACACACAAAGTATTTGAGAGGGATAAATTGTTAAGTAAAAGTGTTCCAGAATGAGAGATGTTTAAACCTGAACCGTTACCCATAAACAGTGAGTCTGGACCCATGTACGGATGATGAAGCGCTAGATTGGCAAGATCATTGGTGACGTGATGCGTTGCTCCACAATCAACCAGAAAATTAGATTGAGAGGTTCCTGGGGGAGTTGGTGAGGGATGAAGATGAAGGGGCAGCCGAGACCTTTGCCGGTGGGTTTAGAGTGGTACTGACCATGGGTTGGTTTATGGGATGGAGTATGGAGAGTTGTAGTGGGCCTTGTTGTTGCTCTGAACTCAGACTGGCTTGAGGGACTAGGGAGTTGTACGGGAATTCAGATTCAACGAACTTGACATGGCGAGAGGTGTAGATCCTTCCAGTGGTTGGATCGAGACACAAGTATGCATGTTGATCATCCGAGTAACCTACAAAAACACATATAGCAGACTTTGATGCTAGTTTATGGTTAGCATATGGTTTAATCCAGGGAAAACACAAACAACCAAAACACTTTAACTTATGATAATCCGGGCTAATTTTGAGTAATTTGGAATAGGGTGACTGGTACCCAAGAATTGGTGTTGGGAGCCGATTGATGAGATAGGCAGCTGTTGTCATGGCGTGAGGCCAATATGTGAGGGGCAAACCCGAGTGATGGAGAAGAGAGAGACCAGTTTCGGTAATGTGTCGATTTCAACATTCAGAAATCCCATTGTGTTCAAGTGTATGAGGTGGGATGGTGTGATGACTTATTCCATGAGTGCTTAAAAATAGACGAAGACCAATATATTCGCCACCATTATCCGTGTAAAAAATTTTGATGTTGTGATGAAAGAAATTTTCAACAAGCGATTTAAATTTGGGAAACAGAGTTTGTACATCAGATTTACGTCTTATCGGATATAGCCAAATATAACGAGTAAAATGATCAACAAACATGCAATAATAGCGAAGACCATCAATTGATAAAAACAGGGGAAGTCCATACATCAGAGAAAATTATTTCCAAAGGATAAGATGATTTAAGAGTGGATTCATGGAAAGGAAGTTTATGACTTTTGCTAATTTGACATGAGTTACAATCTGATTGCTGGAATTTATTTGAACCCAAAGAAAAATGTTGCTGAATGAAAGTGAAGATAGAAGAGGAGGGATGCCCAAGTCTATGGTGCCATGAAGCAGAGGATTCTGTGCGGACAGAGTGGACGAACGGGGAGTTGGCTGGCCAGAGATAGAGTCCATCCACACATGAGCCTATATGGGTTGTTTGACCCATCTGCAAGTTCTTCACATGAAAAGAGTTTGGCAAGAAAACAACAGCAAAGTAAGTTTGTTTAGTAAGCTGAGAGACAGAAAGGATTTTCTGTTGCATGGAAGGAACACACAAAGTATTTGAGAGGGATAAATTGTTAGCCAATAATATGCTTCTTTCACAAAGTAGATTATGGCTAACAATGAATCAGAGGATCTATATGATGTTATTTATGTAAAAGACTTAAAGGTATTTCTTATACCTCATCAATATATAATTTTTTTGCTGTTCAAAAAAAAAACAATGTTTAGACATGACTAGTTGTTCCTTCCGATACAACAAAATCTCTCTGTACGTACACTGAGGATTGAGTTATGCATTCTGTTGACACAATTGGATGAGCTCCTTGTGTTTATGAGCTTTCTCAAGCACCTTCTTCAATTCCTACAGGAGCATTGTATGTGGTTCAGACCATGCCATAAGGAAAACTCTCGAAAAGAGCATCAACAACCACATTTTCTTTCCCT